GGGTAAATAGTTTGAAATTAATGGGTATAAAGTGAGATTTGCTCCTTTGAAATAGTGATGAGCACCAATCATGTCATCTAAATGGACTTGGCCGGAAAATTTTAGCGCTCTGAAATTTCATATTGTAAAAATTCGAACTCTAGTATACTATGGAAGAGATTTACATGGAGGGAGTTTCGAACTTCGTGATAATTGTGAACTCCAGGAAAAATGTTGGAGTTCGAAATTTTGTGGCTACTTTTTAATTATTTTATTATAATTTTTTTTGTGGCTATTTTTAAATTTACTTTGCGAATACTGGCTATATTTTAAATTGGTACCTAAAAGTCGTTACATTTCTTAATATCACCCTTCTAGAATTTTACCAGATACTCCTATATAAGACCGTGTTTTCCCATTCCACTTCCACAACACAGCCTTATAGCAACACACAAGTTTTCTTGCTTGCTTTTTTTTTTTTTTTTTTATTTAACTATCTTCACTCGATCACCACCATGTCTGGAGGTAAAATTAAATTTCTCTACCTATAGAGTTGCATTGTGCTATTCATGTACATGTATTTAGATTATAAAAAGTTTTACATGATTAACACATGATTTTTCATTCAAGTGCTTTTGTTTTAGATTTGTGATACAAGGTTGTTGGAACAACTAGCAATTGTAGTGAGAAAAGAAAGGAGTTGAAAGAGAAGTATAAAGGCCAGAAACTCATTTGCTTCCCTTATCATGTCATCACAACAGAAGAAGATATGCATTTTCTGGTTAGGTTAGCACAAGAGAAAGACAAGATTGTGAAGAAAATTGTTATTCCTCGTTTTATTTCTCAAAGAAAATCTCTCTATTTCTTCTTATTTCCTACTCTTCTTCTTTAAGGTAAAAATGTCGGAAGGCCAAAGCAGCAAAGGAAGGCTCCACTCTTCAAAAATAACCCGGTATACTTGATATTTTCCCCTGCACATACCAGCTCTGCATCTCCTCATGTTTTTAAAAGTGTTTTGGTATTCACTCCTTGATATTACTCTATTTCATATTTACAGAGACTAGCTTTAAGCATAAATTACAAGAATTTACAGTGAAAAATGGCAAGCCACTCCCAATTTACAATACAATTGAAGTTAGTAATGATCATCCACCGCAATTCAGATCCAAAGTCTGGGTTGGATTTGAATACATGATCGGATCAACACATCACATCAAGAAAAAAGCTGAGCAGGCAGCAACTAAACTTGCTTATAAATGCCTCAGCAAGTATGCAGCCAAAGAACTTCTTCTTAGTATTAGAAATTCATAGTGAGTAGTACTCTACGTAATTCATATAAGTAGAGTACAAAGGGATTTTGTGTTTGTCCAAAAAAGAAGATATCTTCTTTATTGTGTGTACTGTACACAAATCATTAGTTGCGCAAAGGGATTCTTATGATATTTATTCCTAAATTTTGATTGATCCGGTGGAAGAGTGATCCTCATTTTATATTTAACACCCTTGAGGACAAGAGTGGTTTGATGGAGAGGGATCTGATACGAGCTGGACTTAGTCATTCTAGAAAGGAAATTGTTGTGTTTATGGGGAGCTGTGCGTTCATCTGTAAAGGGTGCATCTGCGCAATTGGAGTAATAACAAAAGGAAATATATCAGAGTTGTGGAGCTAACACTTTTGGTCCCTATACTTTTAGAGTTAATATTTTTGATGTTACACATTAGTCCCCTTTAGTATACTTTTGTTCAAATTTATCCCTCCTTCCTTGTTTGACCCTTAACAGTCTATTTTCAAATGTGTGCAGGATGGACACTGTGCTACTGCAGAAGAAATGGAATACTGCCCTTGGCGATGCTCAAACAGAACAAAATAGGTATAGGAAAGCGCTGTGGAATCAGGCCGGATAAGGCAAGAGCTGCTTGGTTTTACTTGCTACTTAGTGTTCTCAGGAGAAGATGTACTATTTGGCAAGGCTAGCATCTGAGGAAGAAAAACTCACTAAAAGAATTGTTGTTCCTTCTTTTCTTTGTCAGAAAGAGCAGGCTGCTATTATGAGCATAGCAGATGACTATGGGTTTGCAGTTGCTGGTGAGTGGGCTATGGTTAGGTGGCTGCGGAAGGCATACCGATTGTTCAGAGTGTACTTTGAGTAGGTTACTTGCAAAGGCGTCTCAATAAAAGTCGTGGCCTAAAGCCAAATTTTGATAAGTGGCCTTAATTTTTTATTTTTTTGCCTATAGTATAGTTATCTTGCAAAATATAGTATTAATATTACATTGGTTTTTTTTTTTTGCCTATTATTGGGTTATCTTATAAAATATAATATTTATATTCACATTGGTAAGAAAATTCAAGTTTATAAGATATTAGCCGTGTATTTATAATTTATTACCTTGGATCTTATTGTAATAAACGTTATTTATCAATATGAAGATGTGAGTTTCTTAATTCAAAGTTCTAAAATATTTTTATTGTTAAAAAATAGATAATTTTTCTTTTTTTTTAATAAGGATTTTGTATTTTTTTTTCTTTTTTCTATAAACTTCTAAGCGAAAATAAGATTATAAATCCATAACTAAAAATATTTTTTGGGCTCCAAAATTTAGGGGCCTAAAGCAAAGGCTTTACTAACCTCCCCCTTGAGCCACCCCCGGTTATTTGGTGTAATTGTTTCCTCAATCCATCTTCTGTGGCTTCTTTGCCAGTTCTTGCTCTGGTTGTTCTAGCTTCATCACCTTGGAGTTTCGGATCTGGATAGATAATTGACTGGTAGTGGAAAATACTTATTTGTATGGGTTCAAATTTGGACGACCACGGCTATTGACCAATACGACAAAAGATGAGATCTTTACAACACGACGTCCTGTGGAAGACGGTGACGACCAACAAACGGATAGAGGACGCATGACTTTCGCAGTAATATAGGTCTAACAGGAAGCTTTAGGAATATACTTCGAATATTCCCTATGTTTTTTTTTTTCTAGGGTTCATAAGGGGGTTGTACCTTATATATAGTGAGGAAAAAACCTTGTAAAGGGGGGACTTTCGACTAAGAGCATCCATTACAATATTTATTCTACATTCTTGGTGATCGTTCTTTTTACGCTTAATCATTCGGTTCCACGAGATCAATATATATTGTTTACCTTGTTCATCCCTTATGTTCCTCACTCTAGAGTTTATTATACTTGGCTGAGATTTACCCTTTCATCTTCTTTAATTGATTTAATCAAAAAGGTTTCAAAATCTTTTGGGTCAAACAATTTGGCGCCGTCTGTGGGGATTTCTTTAGCTAAGATTATAGTTTTATCTAGACTCCTGAAAGGGATAATCACTTCTTCCGAGCTTGGTACAAACCAACAATGGCAGGGATAGGAGATGCAAGGCAAAAAGCCATAGTAGGCGTCACAACCAACCTCCTAGACACCATCAACGAAGATAGCAGAGAGGATCAGGAAAATGAAACACCAAACATCACACCCAGGGGAGGCACTTAACCTCCCCCGCACGGAAGTGTAACTGCTTCACGCGAAAGGGAAGCCTCCACATCTGCAACAGGAGAGGCACCACCGATAGTAAGAAGACTGCTGGAAGAATGGCTAACAAGTGCTCTGAACACCATCCTTGATAAACCCACCCAAAGGGATGATAGGAATGCGGCACATGCAGATGTCATGATAAACGAGGGTGAGCAAGACGCCCCCCGTACAGGTAACATTTATGTTGCTAATAACGCAGGCAATGATACGCTTGTTGCCGTATTCAAGAATATGGAGGAAATGAAAAATGAGAATAAGGCACTCCATGACCAAATGAAAGAACACCGAGAGAGAGTTGACAAAATACCAGGAGCTCCGAAGTTGCTGCCAAAATGCGATGTTGGTCGATTCATCGAGAAACCATACAGTGAAGAAACGGCCGCTTACACCATTCCAAAGACCTTCAAAATTCCACCCTACTTAAAGATATATGATGGTAATACCGATCGAGAAGACTACATCATCCACTACGTTACAGCCGTAAAAGGCAACGATCTCTCAAAAGAGCAGGTACCATCGGTGCTGCTAAAAAAGTTTAGCGAAACCTTAATAGGGGGAGCCTTGATATGGTACTCTCAACTACCAGCACGCTCGATAGCAACATTCGAGGAAATGGCAAACAAATTCGTCACCGCCCATGCAGGAGCCAAAAAGGCAGAGGCTAGGGTAAATGATATATTTGCCATAAGACAGATGCACGGCGAGGGACTTAGGGACTTCTTAGCTCGATTCAACAGGGTGAGAATGAGCTTGCCGAATGTGTCAGAAGGAATGGCAGTAGCAACCTTCCAGAATGGATTAAATAGAAGCGGGTCGAGGGCAACTAGAAAATTGCTAAGCAGGCTCATGAAATACCCTCCAACTACTTGGGAAGAAATCCATAACGCCTACTGCGCCGAGGTACGAGCTGGCGAGGACGATCTAAATGGCCCGACCCAACGGTTGACGTCATTCCAAATCGAAGCAAGGAAATATCGCCGCAACAAGGGTCGAAGAGATCAGTTGGGGCCCCACTCTGGTCGGGAAAGGCATTAACCCTTTTAGGACGTCTGCCCCGCCTCCACCACGACGCACAGATGCTCCCCCTCGACATACGACACCATATCGACACGAGAAAGGTATGCCTCCACTCCTATCCGCTCACAATTTTTGTGTTTCTCCTTCAGAAATAGTGTACGCCCTAGAGAAACTCGGTCCAAAGGTGCAATGGCGGCAAAAGATGAGGTCAGACCCCAGCACTCGAAAGTCAAGTGCTTTCTGCAAATTTCACCAAGAAAGGGGTCACAAGACCGAAGATTGCATAGGACTACGACAAGAAGTAGTACGAATGCTAAACCAGGGTCACCTGAAGGAGCTGCTGAGCGATCGAGGACGGACTAACTTCGCCCGTGGACGCGAACAACCCCAAGGACCTCCAAAACTGCCCTCTCCCGCTCGCACCATATAGATGATCATTGGCGGGGGCGACAACACAACGATCAATCATGTCAAGTTCACCACCACACATAAACGATCAATCACTCACAAACGGTATGATGACCTCGAAGACAATATCATCTTCGATAAGTAGGATGCCGACGGTTTGTCTTTCCCTCACTATGATGCTCTTGTTATCACTTTACATATCGCAGATACTGATGTAAAAAGAATATTGGTAGATGACGGGAGTGGCGCGTGTATTATCCATCCTCGAGTCCTCGTGCAGATGAGACTCGAAGATATAATAATGCAGCGCTGTATAACGCTAACAGGTTTTAATAATGCAGTTGAACGGACTTCTGGAGAGATAGTGCTACCCGTCCTAGCTGGAGGAGTCACCCTGGAAACGACATTTCACGTCATGAACCAGGAAACGACTTACAACGCCATCATAGGGCACTCGTGGATACACGCCATGCGAGCGATCCCTTCCAGTCTCTATCAAGTGATCAAGTTTCCTACCCCATGGGGAATATTCAGCATTCGAGGGGAGCAACACACCGCACAAGAATGCTATCGTATCGCCCAAGATTGCGCGCACACCCAACAACTCAAAGGAGCAAATGTGGAAGCATAGCAATCAGCAATGTCGGGAGCCAAACTTAACGTGCGGACAGACGTTATCAAGGACCCTGACATCGTGGAAGCATCTGAATCAACGATAGAAAATCTTGATCCCGTCCTGCTAGACGGCAACGACAGCACAAAAAAGGCTTATATCGGGCACAACCTCTCGGAACTAGGTAAATTTCATAAGTTCTTGACTGACCATGCCGATTTGTTTGCCTTCTTCCACGCAGATATGCCAGGCATCCCAAAAGATATCGCCACCCACAAGTTAAACGTCGACCCCCTATATCCGCCAGTGCGGCAAATGAGAAGGAAGTTCAATGCCGCAATCAACGAAGCCGTCAGCGAAGAGGTCGATAAGCTACTCGCAAATGGCTCCGTCCGGGAAACGAAATATCCTCAATGGGTCGCCAATGTGGTCATGGTGAAAAAGAAAAATAGAAAATGGCGAATGTGTGTAGATTTCACGTACCTAAACAAGGCATGTCCAAAAGATTCTTTTCTATTGCTACACATCGACCAGCTCATCGACGCAACAATAGGACACGAGTTGCTAAGCTTCTTGGATGCCTATTCGGGTTACAATCAGATCCTCATGGAAGAAGAAGACCAGGAGAAAAAGTGATGCCGTTCGGACTAAAGAATGCGGGGGCAACATATCAGAGATTGGTCACAAAATGTTCAAAAACCAACTTGGTAAAACAATGGAAGTCTACATCGACGATATGCTGGTTAAGAGAGGAAAGAAGATCGTATTGGTCATCTAAAGGAAGCCTTCGACATATTGAGACGGTACAGTATGAAACTAAACCCCGAAAAATGCGCCTTCAATGTAAGCTCGGGAAAGTTCCTTGGTTTCCTAGTGTCACAAAGAGGCATTAAGGTCAACCCGAAACATGTTAAAGCCATCGAGGGAATACCCGAAACACTGACCAGCAAAAAGCAGGTACAAGAATTGACAGGACGGATAACAGCCCTGTTGAGGTTGATCTCACGGCCATCGGATAGATGCCATAAATTTTTAATGTATTAAGGAAGGACAACGGGCTCCAGCGGAATGTAGAGTGCGTCGACGCCTTGAGGAAACTAAAAGCGTACTTGTCTTCGCCACCCTTACTCGCCAAAGCAGACCCAGGCGAGTGCCTCCTAGTTTACCTAGCTGTATCCGAAGTCGCGATAAGTGCAGTTCTAGTCCAGAAAAGCCAAGGTACGCAATCTCCAATTTACTATATCAGCAAAACCCTAATTGACGCTGAAACAAGATACCCCCACCTTGAAAAACTGGCTCTGGCGCTAGTCGTAGCTTCACGAAAGCTTAGACCATATTTTCAGTGCCACCCCATAAAGGTAGTGACAACCTTTCCTCTCAAGAGTATCCTACACAAACCCGAACTATCGGGTCGGCTGGCCAAATGGACGATAGAATAAGTGAGCACGATATAACATACCAACCGTGAACTGCAATAAAGTCGCAAGTGCTCGTGACTTCATCGCCGATTTCAGCGTAGAGATACTGCCCGAAGTCGAGCAAGAAGCGCTTTGCACTTCATCCGAGCGATCCGACCTCTGGGTCCTCTACACCGACGGCGCGTCCAATGCGTCGGGATCGGGAATGGGACTCGTACTCAAAGTCCCAACGGGAGAAGTAATTCGTCAATCTGTATGATGTCCTGAAATGACTAACAATGAGGCCGAGTATGAGGCCGTAATTGTAGGATTAAAATTGGCCCTCAAGTATGGTGCTCGGCGGGTCATCCTCCGCTGTGACTCTCAACTCGTTGTGAACCAAGTTACTGGGAATTTCCAAATTAAGGAACAAAGGTTGCAGAAATATCAGACTAAAATCCACAAACTGCTGCAAGAATTCGACGAATGCCGATTCGACCAAATACCCCAAGCACAAAATATCGAAGCAGATGATCTCGCCAAGCTGGCAGCAGCAGCTAAAAATATCACCAAGGAGAACGTGGTCACCCTTCTCCACTCATCAATAGACCAAGTCGAGGTACATTCTATAAATTTAACTTGCGACTGGCGTAATCGCATCGTATCATATCTACAGGAAGGAACACTCCCACAAGATAAAAAAGAAGCCAAAAAGCTCTGAATACAAGCAGCCAGATACAGTCTCATAAACCACGACCTTTACAAAAGGACGTTCGGCGGCCCGTTAGCCAAATGCCTCGGACCCAATCAAATAAGGCGTGTGCTCGAAGAGGTACACGATGGCCACTGCAGCGCCCATACTGGCAACCGATCCCTCGTTAGATGTCTTATTCGTGCAGGATACTACTGGCCCACTATAAAAAAAGAGGCCGCAGAGTACGTCAAGAAATTCGAGCAATGCCAGAAATACGCCCCTATGATACACCAGGCAGGGGAACTCTTGCCCTCCGTCACCTCTCCATGGCCATTTATAAAATGGGGGATGGATATCGTCGGGCCCCTCCCAGTAGGGCGAGGTAAGATACACTTCCTTATGGTTTTAACTGACTATTTTTTCAAATGGGTGGAAGCAGGTGCGTTCGATCAAATACGTGACCAAGAAGTCATCACGTTCATCTGGAAAAATATCATATGCCGCTTCGGCATCCCCAAAGAAATCAGTTGCAACAATAGACCCCAGTTTGTCGGGAAAAAGACGACTGAGTTACTCAAAAAATGGCATATCAAGCGGATACTCTCCACGCCATATCATCTTGCCGGCAACGGTCAAGCGGAATCCTCCAATAAAACAATATTAAACATATTAAAGAAAAAGCTTGAAGAATCCAAAGGGCTATGGCCGGGAGTACTACCGAAAGTGCTATGGGCCTACCGCACAATGCCGAAGACTAGCACAGGTGAGACGTCGTATTCACTGGTCTACGGCACCGACGCAGTCATACCCATTGAGGTCGGGGAACCTAGCCTGAGATACTCCAATGAGAGTGGATCAAGCAACGACGAAAGTAGGTTACAAGACCTCGATGAGGTCGAAGAACGAAGGGATATGGCACACATAAGAATAGTGGCCCAAAAACAACAAGCAGAAAGGTACTATAACAAGAAGGCCAAAGTACGACCACTCAGAGTCGGGGAGTACGTACTAAAGGCCAAAACACAAGCAACGAAGGACCCGAATGAAGGGAAACTGGAAACAAATTGGGACGGGCCGTATAAAATCACAACACCAGCAAGTAAAGGAGCATTCCAGCTAGAAACAATGGAAGGAAAGCTATTGCAAAATAACTGGAATGTCGCCCACCTCAAGTACTTCCACTTTGGAAAAAGTCGCTGTCCGAGTCGTACTCTTTTTCCCTCGCCCGGGTTTTATCCCAATCGGGTTTTCTCGGGGAGGTTTTTAATTAGGTGACGAGGGGACGTCTCGAGGTTCGAAGTATTGTTCATTGCCCCGCCTACCGATTACATCTCTAGGCCGAGCAATGAAGGGACTAGGTATAATCTCCATTATATGTACTAAGTCGACATGTATATCCAACATATGAATAAAATTACTCCATTATGTATACGAAAGCAACACGCATCTCCAATGTATGAATGAAACTGGCATCCATGACACTCCAACAAATAAAATAGAACGCCACCCTCACGACGGGATACTACTTCGGCGTCAGCTCGAAGCAACATCCCAATGGCTAAGACCATCGGCGTAAAATGAGTTCGACATCACTCGAACTACGACGAGATACTACTTCGGCGCCAGCTCGAAAGTAACATCCCTATGGCTAAGGCCATCAACGTAAAACGAGTTCGACATCACTCGAACTACGACGGGATACTACTTCGGCGCCAGCTCGAAAGTAACATCCCAATGGCTAAGGCCATTGGCATAAAACGAGTTCGACATCACTCGAACTACGACGGGATCTTACTTCGGCGCCAGCTCTAAAGTAACATCCCAATGGCTAAGGCCATCGACGTAAAAGGAGTTCGACATCACTCGAACTACGACAGGATCTTACTTCGGCGCCAGCTCGAAGGTAACATCCCAATGGCTAAGTCCATTGACGAAAAACGAGTTCAACATCACTCGAACTATGACGAGATATTACTTCGGCGCCAGCCCGAAAGTAACATCCCAATGGCTAAGGCCATCGATGGAAAATGAGTTCGACATCACTCGAACTACGACGGGATATTACTTCGGCGCCAGCCCGAAAGTAACATCCCAATGGCTAAGGCCATCGACGTAAAATGACTTCGACATAACTCGAACTACGACGGGATATTACTTCAGTGCCAGCTCGAAAGCAACATCCCAATGGCCAAGGCCATCGACAAAAAATGAGTTCGGTATCACTCAAACTACGACGGTATACTACTTCGGCGCGAACTCGAAATTAATATCCCTATGGCTAAGGTTGTTGCCAATGAAAAGAGTTCAACTAAACTCAATACAATAAGTTTGCATTTCAACAAAGCGTCGAAGCGACGTAACTACGGCAGAAGTCGTCAAAAAAAACCAAAGAAAGAAAATGACTCAGAGATGTACGACCAAAAAGACCTCTATCCACAGCAAATATGTTACAAATATTTGTCTCTACAAAGGGCTCAAAGATGCCCTTACAAAAATCGTGAAGCAAAAAGTAAGTACAAAACAAATACTACACATCATTCCTGGTGGCATACAAGTCTTCGTACCAAGAGTCGGAGGCGAGTCTATTCGCATCATCAGAATTGATATCATCTCTGTCAGGCGTAAGAGGATCATACTTGCATGCCTCACGAGCTGCACGAGCCTTGGCACGTACATCCCGAAGCTCCACTTCGGACGCCCTCCCATCAACATGAAGAGCCTTGTACGCATCGAGCTGAGCCTCGGCATGAACCCACAACTCATATAGACGTCGAGGCACAACGGGATCAACTGGAGCATAAGATGTAGAAGGTTGCGACTGTCGTCGTACGTCCTCCGCTTTTAAAGAATCCATTTTCTTGTTCAATGCGGATAGTTCCGCTTCCAACCCTTGAACACGCCCCTCAAGCACTGCTATCTTAAGTGCGGACGCCTCCTTCTCCTTGGTCAGCTCCGACCTACAAACACAGAGGGCATCTTCCAAAACCGCTGCCTCAGAGACAACAGTCGCGAATCTATCGGAACTCACGCCCAGCTCACCTTTAAACTCATTGATCTCCATCGTCTTCGTATCCAGTTCGGTAGTTAAATTGGCCACCTTTGCTTGGATGTCGGCATTTGATAAGTAGGATTTTAACGTGTTTTATGCCCCTACTTGCCTATGCTTTGAGTATAATTTGATACAAAATAATCCCAAAATGCTCACAGGTTGTGCTTGATTGCAGGTTTGAGCGACAAAGTGACTGAATTGTCAAAGATCGGCTCAAAACGGAGTGAAACCTGCTCAAGCATCAAAGGCCAAGAAAAGTGAAGGAAAAAGATCCTAGTGCGGACCGCACAAAAGTGCACGCGGCCGCACTAGGAGAATCAGAGAAGTGATAATTCAGGACTCTCACAACACGGCCACGGTTGGACTTACGCAGCCTGCGCTCAGATCACGCGGCCGCGCCACATTTTCATGCGGTTCGCGTGAAGAGATTCAGAGAGATGAAGTTTGGGGACCAAAGCAAGCCACGCGGCCGCGGTCACATTTACGCGGTCCGCGCCAGATCTCATGTAGCCGCGCTACACTTTTGCGCGGCCCACTATCCTCAACTTCAGAGAGCCAACCTTCAAGATTTCAAGAGCCCACGCGGTCGCGCTACCTTTTTGCGTGGCCCGCGCTGACCCCGCAGGGGTATTTTTGTCCAAGTTTTTCAGCCATTATAAATAGATCCTTTTTCCATTTTTAGGTTAAGTTTTAGATACCTAAGGCTGCTGAGCTCGTGAGAACATTGGGTTTAGCCATTTTTGGCGTTTTTAATCTCTAATTTTGTATTTCTTCCTTAGTAATCAATTATTATGTTTGCTTCTTCATCTGTTTCTTTAATTTTTGCATCTAGCATGAGTAGCTAAACTCACTAGCTAGGGTTGTGGCTCAACCCTAGTGTGGGTAATTAATGGGTGTTGCAATCTAAGGCTAGATTGATATTGGGTGTTTGCTATTTGGGTTAATTTTAGGTTTTCATTAAGGATTGGTGGTTGCAAACACTAATTCTAGCTTGGTGGGTTTGACTCTTCTTGAGAAAGAAAGTCTATGACCCAAAAATTGACCCAACAAGAAATTGGGATGGACCCATGAGAAATGGTAGTCCCAATAACGGGTTAAACCTCGAGAGAGTAATTACCCCACTTGAACCCTAGTTGCTTGGTCAAATTGGCCTACCCAATTGATCTCGAGAGAGTCAATTGGGCAAAATCACTCTCTCTACCGAGAGGTATGAGAGTGGGTACAATTGAGCAACGGTTATAGCATAAGCCCCAAATAAGTCAATTTACCCTTAGTAGCATCTACCCGTTAGTTAGCCACCTAGGTAATGCCACGACCCAAGTGCTTTTCTCTATATTAATTACAACTTAGCAATATCTCCATAGCATAATTTAGCTTCAACTATTAGTCTTAAAGTAGAAGATATAAAAAACCAAAACCGAAATTGTTAGAAGTGATATTAGAAGCACAACTACAATTCTAAATTAAGCAGATAATACAACTCCCTCTCTAGCTCCCTGTGGAAAATCGATCCCGATCCACTATCGGGTAAAAGCTGTTGCAACCCGCTCTTCCTACTTTAGTGTAGTGTTGAGTCGGAAGCGCTCAACTTTTTGGCGTCGTTGCCGGGGAGCTTACGGTGTTGACTATCGGTTTGGTTAGTTTTGTGTTTCGCTTCTCTTTCCTTCTTGTTTACTAATTCTGTTTGTGTCGATCATTCAGGTACTATGGCTCTCAATGCAAACGACCCTCTTGGCAACGTGAATGCGGGGGAGGAGGTAGATGATCTTGAGCCCGAAGAGGTTCAACCACCTCAAGTTCCACGTAGAGGCCGTCCGACCAATGCAAATGGTAATAACCTTTTCCAGACCCTCCTCCGCCACCGCCAAGAGCAGTCCCAAGAGTTCTTCCAAATCAAGGGTACGCGAGTGCCAGTGTTCCTCCCCGAATCCGGGCGGGGAACTTTCAAATCACAAATGTTATGTTGACCTTGCTCGAGCAAAGAGGGTATTTTACGGGCGCCTCCGACCAAAATGCATACAAGCACTTGAAGGGGTTCGTAGATACTTGCTGGGGCAGCAAACAAACAAACGTGTCCGAGGATGCGTTGAGATTGAGGCTTTTCCCGTTCTCTCTTCGGGGTAAAGCGTTGGACTGGTTAGAAAGGCTACCAAATCATTCCATCACTACATGGGATGAATTGGCGGACAAACTTATTGCCAAGTTCTTTTCTCCAAGTCATATGGCAGCTCTTCGGGACGAAATTCTAGCTTTCAAGCAAATGCCAACGGAACCTTTGCACGAGATATGGGAACGATATAGAACAATGGTGAAGGAGTGCCCTAACAACGACATGACTGAGGCGATGATCCAACAGACTTTTTATAGGGGCATCAACACCACGAATCAGTGCATTGTGAACCAATTGGCCGGTGGGAACTTTATGAAACTTTCTTACCAAGAAGCTTGTGATGTACTTGATGAAATGGCTGACACTTCTTCGGCATGGCAAAGCCGAGCAAATGTGCCCCAAGGTGACCCCACGGTCATCCATTTGCACAAGGAGTTGAATGACCATGGCCAAGCTATTGCCGAACTTACAACAACAATGAATCAGTTGGCGAAGGCGCAATTGCAACAAGTACAAAATCCGCGCCAAGTCAATGCAATGGAGAATGTTTCTATGCTAAAAAGAAGGCAAAGAGGGCAACAACAATCTCAAGGTAATGGTGAGAAATTTGACAACAACAATGATGGTGGTGGTTATTCGAACAAGTGTTATGATGATCAAAGTGAGGAATGCCAATATATCAATAACTACCAAGGAAATAGAGGAAATCAAGAAAATCAACAATGGCGCCCCCAAGGCAATTGGGGCAATCAACAAGGCGGTGGAAATTGGAATAACAATAATCAACAACAAGGTGGTAACAATTGGAACAATAACAATCAGAACAACAATTGGGGTAATCAAGGTAACAACCAAGGCAATTGGAACGGGAACAACAACAATTGGAGCAACAACAATAACAATCAAGGAGGGTGGAATAATGGTGGCAGGGGGCAAGGCTTTCAAAGCCCCCCATGTTTCAACAACCAAACAATCCACCTCCCTTTCAGTCGCAAGGGTCTAGTTCTTCTGGGAGTGACATGGGACAGATAGAAATGATGTTCGAGCTGATGATGAAAAAGAACCAAGATTCTGACGCATAATTGGCTTCACATAACACATCTATCTGGAACCTAGAGGTGCAAATAGGTCAAATTTCTCAAGCTTTAAATACCCGACCTAAGGGTGCGCTACCAAGTGACACGGTAGTGAACCCGAAGGGGGGTAACAATCATGTGATGGCAGTTATAACTAGAAGTGGAAGAGGTGGTGCAAATGCCGACCTCAAATGAAAAGCAAGTGGTGAATGATGATATTGAGCTCCGAGAAGATGTGGATCCTTTGATTGATGAAGTTGTGGTTGAGACAAATGTGAACAAGGAAGTGAGAATAGATATTGATGAGGCCGAGGTGGAAACTCAAGAGGCCGTGAACCCGTCTAGGGAACACATAATAGATATTCCAGAACCGGTGGTTCCAAAAGCCAAGGCACCCTTGCCTAGACCACCTCCACCTTATCCTCAGCGGTTAGCAAAGCAAAAGAGTGACAATCAGTTCGAGAAGTTCATCGATATGATGAAAAGCCTCACAATCAATGTTCCTTTGGTGGAGGCACTCGAACAAATGCCTGGTTACTCAAAGTTCATGAAGGATTTAGTCACCAAGAAGCGTTCTATGGAGTGTGAAACAATAAAGATGACGCACCAAGTTAGTGCAATTGTGCATTCTATGGCCCCGAAACTTTAAGACCCTGGAGCTTTTACTATTCCTTGCAATATCGGGAGTGCGGAGTTTGCTAAGGCCCTATGTGACTTGGGGGATAGCATTAATTTGATGCCGTACTCAGTCTTCAAGACTTTGGGAATTGGGCAACCTAGGCCAACCTCAATGAGACTTCAAATGGCAGACCGGTCGATGAAGAGGCCTTTGGGTATAATTGACGATGTGCTTGTCCGGGTTGACAAATTCATATTGCCGGCCGACTTTGTCATATTGGATTATGAAGTGGATTTCTAAGTGCCTATTATTCTTGGGAGACCTTTCCTAGCTACGGGGAAGGCTTTGGTTGATGTTGAAGCAGGTGAATTGACATTTCGAGTGGGGTGATGAAAAGGTGGTATTTCATGTTTGCAAATCAATGAGGCAACCCAATAACACGGAAGTTTGTTCACTTTTAGACATTGTCACATCTGTGATAGTGGATGACACAAGTTCCATGATGAATGTTGAAGATCCCCTTGAGGCCGTACTTCTTGGCATAGATGTGGAAGATGATGCTAGTAGGGTGGAGTGCGTGAATGCATTGCATGGTATGGGTTCATATTCATATGAGCCTAGGAAGCTATCTTTGAATCTTGAAAACCGCAAAACTCCACCAACTAAACCATCCATTGAGGAGCCACCGGTGTTGGAGTTGAAACCACTTCCTCCACACCTCAGGTATGAATTCTTGGGCTCTAATTCTACTCTTCCAGTTATTCTTTCTTCTTGCCTTACTAACTTACAGGTTGAGGCCACTTTGGAGGTGCTTCAAAAGCGGAAAAGGGCAATAGGATGGACCTTGGCGGACATTAGGGGAATAAGCCCCGCATTTTGCATGCATAAGATCATCTTGGAGGAGGATGCAAGGCCATCTCTTGAACATCAAAGGAGACTCAACGAGGCAATGCAAGAAGTGGTAAAGAAAGAGGTTATCAAGTGGCTTGACGCCGGTGTGGTTTATCCAATCTCTGACAGTTCGTGGACTTCTCCAGTCCAATGTGTACCAAAGAAGGGTGGAATGACGGTAGTGACCAATGCCAACAATGAGTTGATTCCTACTCGGACAGTTACGGGTTGGAGAGTGTGTATGGACTATAGAAAGCTGAATAAGGTGACAAGAAAAGATCATTTCCCACTACCATTCTTGGACCAAATGCTTGATCGTCTTGCGAGCCGGGCCTTTTATTGTTTTCTAGAT